AAAATGCATCTTAACTGCAAGAAGTAAAAAACTAAGTATACTCTTTAAATATATACAAGAAAAAATGCCTATACTTAAAGAATTAGTATTAAGACATTCAGACTTGTATACTGATGCAAAGTGTATAGTTTGCAAAAAAGAAAAAGAAGAAGACCAGGACCATTTAGCAACATGCTTCTTTTATAAAAACTATTAGGTGAAGGCAAAAATACTGGTAATGACAATTGCATGAAGCATACTTTCAGAAGGAAAAAAAAAAGTATTACTCAAATACATTTAAAAGAAACAATATGAAGCCAAACAGAAGAAGAAAGTACTAAAATAAGAAAAAAGCTCATTAAAGGTCTTTTACAAGAAGAATTAGTAGAGAGGGTACAGAATATTATAATCTCAGTACAAGAAACAAAAAATTTCCTAATAAGTATAGTAGATACTATATGGAATGAGTTCTATAAAAAAATTTGGAAAGAAAGATGCAATAAAGTATCCAAATAGAAAAAAAGCTAAAAAATTAGTACAAAAAAGAAAAGAAGCAAAAGTAAAGCAGTAGAACAACAAAACAAAGTATTGCACAAGGTGTTATCAAGATCAAAAAACGAAAACTCAAAAAAAATTAAAAATATAAAGAAGGAAAAAAAACAGAAAGTAAAACCATAGAAGACATATGGAGGAATACAGTTAGAAAATCAATTAATAATAACAAAAGACCTTACTGGAATGGCCTCAAAGGCTAGCCTGAATAGCCTTCTAGTAGTGAGCATTAACTTACTTTAGTGTGGCAAGTCACCTCTGGGCACTAATACAGTAGCTGGGGGATGTCAAACCTAAAAATTAAGCTAATATTTGTATAATCATGTATGCAATTCTCTTAATAAAGGATTTTGGCAAGACTGCCAAAGAGTTTAAAAAAAAAAAAAAAATAGGTACTGACTTTTAGTAAACTTTACAAGAGTAAAAATAATATAATATAACAATTAAATAGATAATCTTTGTAATTACAAGTATTAAGAAACTTATAGCATGTTGTATAAAACTAAGTTAGCTATGTATAAGATATAGAAGGTTCTAGTAAGTTTTTTGTTAAAAATAAAATAGTTCTAAGAGCTTTAACTGCATCAAATAGTTTGAATGAGTATAGTCTTGAAGATGTCATCATAATACAAGTTGGAATTACATATATAAAAAGTTTAAATAAGCAAGACCTATAGTTAACTTGCAAATATAATATTTAATATAGAATCTGTATAGTAATATATAAGCAAACTACTTAAATTAGATATCAAATATATATATATGACTAGTTGTAACCTTCTATATATAGATGCTTCTAAAGATATTTATGTTTAAAAAAACTTAAATAAAAATATTAACTTCTGAAGACAGAAATTTTAATTTAAAATATATATTTTTTATTTATTATTAGTTATTAGTATAGTTATATTATAGTATATAGTAGTTAAATAAAAGAATTCTTAATTGATTATTAAAACTATAATATAATCATATAACATTAATATTTATAATATTACTATTAGCATACAAATTCTAAGTTCTTTATATAAGTTTTATATAACTTAATACAAAATTACTATATTAAATACTATAGTACAAGAATTTTAAATATTTTTTTATACAATATTCAAGTGTTTTTATACAATTCTAAGTATTTTTATACAATTTTCAAATGCTTTTGCATAATTTCAAGTATTCCAATATAGATTCAAGTATCTTGACATATGCTTCAAATGTTTTAAATACAAATAACAAATATCTATAAATATTGGTTTAACTATTTTTGTACAAACTATACTTACTATTGCATAAATCTTTATTACTCCTATTAGGTAAAAAGATATATAAAAAGTATCTTTTTCTCTTTCTACCTAATTTGAAGTTTTTATACTTTAACTTAAACATAATGATCTTTTAATTAATAAATATAATATTTTTTCTTTAAAGTAATTCTATAAATAAAATTGTTATTATGTATATTATTAATAAAAAATTAATTTATATACAATTACTATCTTAAACTGTTTGCTTGCTACTGTATAATAAAGTAAATTACTATATCTTCACTCTGTATATATTTATAATAATCAATCACTATATCAGATAATCTTATTATTTGATTGTATTGTACTAAGAAGATTGCAACTCTGTAACAATTTAACTATTATTTCTTTTAATAAATTTTAAAACAATTTCAAAAAACTTTATAAAAAGTATAAAATCTCAAAATTCAAAATACTTAAAGAAAAAAATTTAATTAGTAGTTCATAGTTAAATGATACAAATTTTATAGTAAAAATTAGTAAACATGTAACTAGTTACCTTATATAGTAAGTAGAATGCTATATGCTTTAATTCTTAAGAAAAAACTTTATAGTAAATAATTAAAAAATACTTATATCTTATGATCTATTTAACCAATTTTAATAATTTTACTACTATTAGAATAACAAAATTTAGCTTTACAACTTTTAATTAAGCAACAAGAAAGAATTACTTAATAAAAAAATACTTATATATATAAGCAAGCCTCATTTCTATACTATAAAAAAAATATATAAATTTCTGATTTTGTTTATTATAAGAATTATCATTTTTTGTTTTCTTTAAAAATGATTTCTCAATTAATTTTTTTTTTTTAGTATTAGGGTGACCTCTTTGGTCTTTTGACTTTTATTAATCACTTATCAGTATTGTGGTTCAATAAACCACTACAGAAGAGTATACAATTAGCTACATGTGTAACTTTTTTATATTACCTATTTAAGAAGTCCGCCCAAAGGTTCTCTACCAATTGCCATATCTAACATTCCTGCTTGGGTGTTCTACTTTAAACTCTCTGAATCTGTAATCTGTGTTAACATTACTGAGTCATACTCAGATGCCCAAATCATCATCTCAATTTTAGGACTAATTTATTCTCAAGATAAACTCTTCAGAGCCTTCTGTACCCATTTTTACAGCTGACCTAGGTATCGCTATGGCAGAACTAACACTTGTAATTAGGGCTAATTATTAAACCACTATGCCCTTGTAGAGTTTACTTAGATCTCAGTATCTACTTCATAGCATAACCCTAGTACTTTAGTATACTCCTGCCTTTTTTCTGCCCTTTTACCAAACTTCCAATTCAGATAGCCTATGTAGAACTATGATCAGTCTATTGGTATATCAGATCAGCCCAATATTCTTTTTCTCTGGTTCATTCTAGCTGCCTGGTTGATGATATCTTTAAGACTTCCTAACTTAGAGGTTTTTGCCTATCTGGCTACTAGGACTGGATACTAGACCTAGGTATTTGTTTTACTAAGCTAGCCTTTATAGTAGGGCCATTAAAAATTCAGCTACCTCTCTACTCAGATCTTCTTAAATGAACTTCTTATTACCCAATTTCAATGGATTTACATGACTATGAGGACTTATATAATGTTTACACCACCCGATATGTCAGTTTGCATTCCTCCATGTAACTTCAACATTGCACAAATGCTCTATAACCTGTCAGTCATGCTAGTGTGACCACCATTACAGGTATCCTAACCTAACCATTAGTAACAGTTGCCATAATATGAATATTACATAGGTGATTATCCAAATTTTTACCATTGATAAGATTTGAACACCCAATCTACTACTTGGAAGGTTGACAACCTGACCACTTCACTAGGTCACTACACTCCCATTTATCAATTAATTTTTATATTCAATAAAGATATAACAATATAAAAATAAATACCTTACAAATAATAAATAGTATACTTAAATATAATCAAGATTAAGTTTTATTTAATAAAATTATAATATCTAATAGAATAATTAATAAACTAGAAAAAATATAAAACAATAAAAAAACTCTTTAATAACTGGACTAAACATAATTCAACAAACCCTAAATTTGAACATAAATGAACACAATTCTTACAACCTCTATTGCATATTAATTCTAATATTTATATCAATTTGTTCTAACCAATAACAATTTCAAAATTAACAAAAACTATAACTTTTTTATCTTTTTATAAAGCTGCAAACCATTTTGATTTGTAAAAATTCTTTTTAATTTAGTTAAAAAATTCTTTTTATAGCAATATAAAAATTTACTTCTATTTTATTTATACAGTTAATTTTTTACAAGCATTCTCTTCTTAAGTATCATTTAATTACAAATTAACATAATGAAATGTATTGCATTTAGAATACTTTTGTCATGTGTTTATAGTTAGAAAGCTCTGCAACCTCCTGACTAAATCGCCCATATTTCGTATTCCTTGATATCTTAAGTTTTCCGAACCTTTCTGACATTCCTAATTGTATTTACATAGGCAGAAGTTCGTCTGATTGGCTAATAAATTCAATTCAATTTTATATTATTTATACAGTTTAAAGTACTTTTTAAAAAAACGAAAACTAAATATAATAAAATGAAAAACGCTGTATAGAAGTTTTCATTAGAGTTGTAGGACTTCATAGCCAAAAATAATAATTTATTCTCGTCCGTTTAAAAAAGTTAGCTTAGTAATAACTTGATTTTATTGGCTTTTGAGAAGTTATTACTATACTAACTTTTTTAAATAAAAGAGAATAAATTATTATTTTTGGCTATGGAGTCCTACAACTCTAATGAAAATTTCTATACAACTTTTTTCATTTCATTATGTTTAGTTTTCGTTTTCTTAAAAAGTACTCTAAACTTTTTAAATAATGTAAAATTAAATTGAATTTATTTTAATTTTGCCCTTTGTACTAAAAATTCCGCATCAAAAAATTTGATTACAATAATGTTACACAGATCAGGTCCTACCTGTAACACAAGTAAATTGCTTTGCGCTGTGCGACTAAAATATAACGATAAATTTTCTCGTCATGAAAGCAGACTTTAATTTATATAAAATCAATTTAATTTTGCGATAGCCTACCTAAATAAGCCAACATTCCTTTGTTAATCACCGCAATTTAATTTCTAGAGATCTGTATAATAACCTAACGAAATGCAAAGTTCTATGCAAGATTTGACAGACTCTTTTGCTTTTACTCAAGATTGGTTTTCGTTAAAAGTTGAGAAATTTCCTGACAGCTTGGTATGTAATACTGTCAAAAAGAATTCTCAAAAACCTTCTTTATCCCTCAACATAGGAACTTTGGAAAAATTATCGAATCCGCATAAACTTCCACTTGTTCCCGCAACTACACATCCCCTTAATCATCAGATCACGTCGTCACCTATAACACCTACATTCTTTAGCAAATTTAACAGTAACGTTTTACACATTACAAAGCGAAAGAACGATAGTGAACAGAATCTATCCGTTCAAACACAAGATAAAGTTATAGATTTAAGGAAATGCTATAGTCCATTAGATCTAAGTATAACTGAGGTAATGCGTAGAGAAAAAGATCGAAAAGAACCAGAAAAAAAAAAAGTTATTGTGCATATGATCAAAGCTTCCGATACTCTAGCTGGCATCGCCTTGTCTTATGGAATAGAGGTTTGTGAACATTGTTTCATTTAATATTATTCAAACGAATATTTTCTAATTTTTTTTTTTTTTTTTAAATGGACATGTTTATCATGTTTTGTTCGATGTTCAGATATCGATTCTTAAAAGAACAAACAAATTGTGGACTAACGATTCAATTCACATGTTAAAATATTTATATATTCCTTTGGATGATTATACAATAGTTACAGATAAGGCAAATATTATTGTGCAAGAGGAGAACACTCTACATATATAGACATATAACATTTCTGATAAAGGAAATAGAATGAGGCATTACCTCTAGATAATATTGAAAAAAGGGAAACCTACAATCTTGAATATGTAGATGCCTTATTATGTATTATTAATATTTTAATATTTACAATAGTAGTAGATGTGCTTTATCTTTTCTACTATGCGAATTTTTCAAAATTCTGGGTCAGATCTAAGCTGCCAAAATTATCAACTAGCAGTAGGGATAGTGAAGTTCCTAGTTTCAAAACAAAGTCATTAAAAACTAAGTTCGAAGTTTAGAAGTTGGGTAGCATGTTTATAAAATTATGTATATTTAGTATAAGTAGCATAGATATTAATTATAGATATATAGATATTAATTTACTACATTACCGATTCAAATAATTTTCATTTATCATTGTATGCAATAATATTTGTATGCGTTGTACGAAAGCAGTAAACACTATATATATGTGGAGGAAAGTGAAACCTGTAAATTGATTAACAATCGTTCACTTTGTCAGAATAATCCGTGTAAAATGATACTATAATAAAGTCATACCAACTTAATAAATTGGTTCTCATAACCGGCCGAATAAACTTGAAAAAAAAAATTTACAGCTGTTTTCATAAATTCTGGAAAAACTGGCAAAAATTAACCGACCGAATATTTGACGATTCGATAAGTTTTGATTCGGCAGTGATTAACTTTTGATTCGGATGTAATCACATTCGAATCAAAAGCTTATCTAAACATATCGACTCGGTCAATTTTTGCCAGATTTTCCAGAATTTATGTAAGCTATTTACTATCCAGAGTTTTTCAAAAAAACAAAAAATTTTAGGGAATTGACATATAAAGACCCAAAAATGTAAATAATTACAGATGAGGGTTCAAAATGAGTGCATCTATTTGCGCAACAGATTATGTAAGGTCTGGTGACTGTCTACTTCATGATCATGCATGTTCGATTAGGGTGTTCGATATACTATTGGGGTTCTGCATATCCTAATTAATCAAACCTATATCAGGCATCATAGTAAAAATTAGTAGTACAGATTTTTATCGTACGTATATATGATATAATAATTACAAGATAATCTATGCGATTTACAGATTTAATAAAAAAGTTTTTAACGTCATAAAAATAGTTCTTTAAAAAGTTTGTCTGCAATTTGTTCTTGTCCATTGAGTTCGGTATTTAATGCACTAAAATCTTGTTTGGATTTATTTTTGTTTCGAACATCTTTAAGTTGTTCAGTATTAGTCTGAACTTCATTTATATTGGCTACTGAAAGTGCATTTTGGATTGTTGAATATTATGGGCCATATTAGGGTGAGTTTTCAAGTCCTACTTGTTAAACAAGCCTTCTATCTATTGTTGATGGACAATAATATACCAAATCTTGTTCTTGACAAAATCATATAGTTGTGGATATTCATAAAGCAAAACATTTGAGCCTTCAACAAACAAGTGAAATTCTTAAAGAAAAGAGTCATCGGTTAATGCAATTTTAAGACCAAAATCTTTAAGCCTTCCTTGTTTGACATCAATTCTAAGAAACTGTACATAACATAATTCTTTTAGAATAGGAAACTTTGGTCAAGATTTTTTAAAAACAACATACTAATAATTACATGCAAATTGTTAGGCATTATTTTCATCAAGACAGCAAACATTTAGAGGAAGATGAAACCAACAATTTAACCATTTTTGATGTAAATCGAGTTCTTTTTGTAATTCATGTTCTAAATTTTTAATTAATAAATCGATTCCTGAATTGTTTATAATTTTTGTGTTTCATAAAAGTTCAGCTCCAAAAAACAAATAGATATTTTTTAAAATGTTTATAAGTTTAGATATAGAATTAATTATAAAATCTGGCATCTGATGAGTTCAATAGCTAGGTGATAAGCATTGTAATGATTCTGAATTTGTAATCCTAAGTTGTAGATCATAACCAACAAGAAACCTTATAAATGGGTGATAAAATTCTTGGTCAAACTTAACTAAACATTGAATTTCTATATTTAATTTAGGATCATTTAATCAGGTTTGAAACAATTCTCATTTTTGAATATAAGAAGTTGGTGTTTTTTTTAAACCTTTAAGTTTTAAAAGGAACTATGTAATGAATTCTAAATGAATTTCATGCCTTTCAAGGTATTGCTCTGCAGTGATCAACTTATATTGTCACTTTGAGCATAAAGATTGTTGATACTTGGTTAATTGATAACCAAATTATGCTTCATAGAGCTTTTGAATTGATTCGCTTTTTATATTTAATGGTAAGTCTTTATTACTTCGATTATATCCATTGTGCAACATCCATGCCAAGTATAGAAGATTGTATGGATGGCAAGTTT